GTTTTAGTGACGTAAGAGGTTACTACAAGTCAGAAAAACAGCGGAGATGTTTAGGAACAGACGGAGAAATGTTTAAGAACAGACAGAGAAATGTTTTGGGGAAATGACAGACCCACAGGTGCCAGCTTTTCTTGTTTCTGTCTGAGAGGTTTAAAAACATGACAGTTCGTTCCAATAAACTTGTTTGCGACTGTCTCCGACTTTTGACCGACATCACTCCTTCTCATTTCAGACAGAAGATCAAAAAATGCATAATTACTTTGTAACAGACATTTTAACTTGATTTCTACGTTGAGTGAGGATTAAAAAATCATTAATACTGTTTCACAGTTGATTTAAAATGAGTAGTTCACTTCAACATTTAAAAATGATTTGAACTAAACACACTTTTGATTATCAAGACATTTGTAAAAATAGTAATGACAATATAAAAAGAGAGTGTTCTTTCAATTGATTAGTTCAGGATACAATTAGAAAGTCTCTGGATGAGCTAATTTGTATTTCTGGATTCAAATCAATGAAATAACAGTTCCTGTCCCATGAAGGTCTTCAGGGTCAGGTTTTGACCGGAGGCTTAGTTCACTACAAATGGTAGGTCTAGGTGTAACTGAAAGACAAAAAAAACATGTTAAGGATAGAAAAAATAATTACAAATACAAAACAGGTTGAACAGCGTGAGTAAAGACAGTAGCAGAGTGAAAATTGTGGTCAGTTTGTCCTCCAGCAGTCTAAGCCTATAGCAGCATAACCAAGGGACAGCTCAGGAAACTCAAGCCGACCCTAACTAAATCTTGGGTCCAGAATACTGGCCCCATACTGAAAGACTGTTTTGAATGCACAGACTGGCAGTTCTTCAGAGAAGCTGCTGAAAATGGGGGATGCTAGACCTGGAGCAATACACATCCTCAGCTCTAGGGTACATTAGTAAATGTGCTGATGACGTCACCACCGTCAGATATGTTGAGTTACTCCAACAGAAATCTATGGCTGAATGTAAAGGTTCGCACCCTGCTGGAAGCCAGGAACTCTGCCTTCAGGTCTGGAAACTCACAAGAGCTGAGAAGGACAAGGAAAGAACTGGCTGATGGTATTAAGTAGGCCAAGGCTACATATGCACAGAGGTTCCAAGGTCAATTTACCTCACAAGACATATGGAGCATGTGGAGGGGCAATGAGTGTACAACAGATTATAAAGGCAGGAGTGAACAATGCCCTAGAGACCCATCAATGCCTGATACCCTCAACAAGTTCTATGCATGCTTTGAAGACCTGAACAGACCATCCAGCACCAGACTCAGCTCACCACCGGATGAAAAACTTCTCAGCATGACCTCAGCCGAAGTGAGTACTTTCAGGAGGATTAACCCTCACAAAGCAGTGTTTCCTCTAGATAACTTGCCATGGTGGGGCGCTCATCTCATCCGTGATTTTCGTTGGGGAGGAGGGGGACAGAGTCACATCCATTCGCTGTTTGCACAGACAGTTTTACAGTTTTAGAGCAGGGGTGATGAGAAGAGAGAGAGACAGAGACACATCTCAGCCACGAGCTGTGTGTACCAACATTTTCTTTTTTCTTGTGTTTGGAAGGTTTCAGTGTGAGGGTTTAGCAGAGGGAAGAGGCTGCCTTTAGCTTTTTAGCTAGTGCACCTGCATTGCCAGCCTCTAGATTAGTGTTACATCAGTGCCGATAGGTGGTTTGGGTGGGGGGTTCGGTAGATGGGGCGCTTGGCTCAGTTGACGGGGCGGTGCGACCCACTTGTATATTGGTAGGGTAAACGCTACAAAGCAACCGGCCCAGACAACATCCCCGGGAAGGTGCTGAAAGACTGTGCTGATCAGCTCTGTGAGGTGCTGGCTGATGTTAACCTCTCACTTACCCTGGCAACAGTTCCCATCTGCCTGAAGACCGCCACCATCATTCTAGTCCCAAAGAACTCTATAGTGACTGGTCTGAATGACTACCAGTCAGTAGCCCTCATCCTGATAGTTGCTAAATGCTTCGAAAAACTGGTCATGACCCACATCAAAACAACCATCAACATCAACGAGAACCCTCACCAGTATGCATACCGCAAGAACCGATCAACTGACGACGCCATCTCCTCTGTGGTCCACACTGCGCTCAACCACCTGGAGCAGAAGGACTCCTGCGTCTATGCTCTTTGTAGACTTCATATCTTCCTTCAATACCATGATACCCCAAACCCTGATGGACAAACTACTTACACTAGGACTAAGCCCCTCCATTTGCAACTGGGTACTAGACTTCTTAACAAACAGTCCACAGTCAGTGAGGATCCACAACTTCTCCTCCTCCACCATTACCCTCAGCACAGGCTCCCCTCAGGGATGTGTGTTGAGCCTTCTCCTGTTCATTCTGCTCACGTATGATTGTGCAGCTATCCATCCAGGCTGTCCCATTGTAAGGTTTGCAGATGATACAGTGGTGGTTGGATGCATCACAAACAATGATGAATCCAGCTACAGGCAGGAGGTGGAACACCTGGAGAGATGGTGCAAGGAGAATAAACTTCACATCAATGTGAAGAAGATGAAGGAGATGGTTGTGGATTTCAGAAGGAACAAACACACCAACCCACTCAGGAACATAAGATGATCTGTGGTGGAAGTGGTCTCCAGCTACAAGTACTTGGGTGTACACCTGAATTACAACCTTAGCTGGGGCAACAGCACTACCAGCCTTATCAAGGAAGCTCATCAGAGTCTCTACTTCCTCAGGCGACTGAGGCGAGCTGGTCTGGGAGCTCAGTCCTCACCTCCTTCTACAGGTGTGCAGTGGAGAGCATCCTGTGCTCCAGCATCAACATGTTGCATGGAGGCTGCACAGCTGCAGAAAGAAAAGCTTTGCAGAGAGTGGTGAAGGCTGCACAGAAGTCTGTTGGAGTCAGTCTCCCCACCATCACAGACATTTACATCTCTAGATGCAGGAAGAGGGCCATCTGCATCATGTAGGACCCCACTCATCCAGCACACACAGTTTTTGCCCTGCTCCCCTCAGGCAGGAGGTTGAGGAGCATTAAGTGTAGAACCACTAGACTGAGGAACAGCTTCTACCCTGAGGTTGTTAGACTCATGAATCTCTAACCAGAATTTTCACTGTGAAAAATCACATCATGTTGCGACTGATCTATTTCAATGTTGCTGTGTTTGTACGTACTCATCTGCTCACACAGACTCATGTTCATGCTGCTATTCGGCGTATTGTTTTTATACTATTAGTGCTTAATGTATTTTTAGTTGATAATTTTCTTAGTTCATATCTTAGCTCTTATTACTGTTTTTTTTTTACTTTTTTTTGTTGTTGTATGTAACTGGGACCCTGTGTACATAACCTTGTTCCACCACATGTACCACATGTGGTGCAAATGACAATAAAAAAATTATGACTCTGACATCACCCTATCTGACGCTCTTTTCACCTCTACTACATTCTTTGCCAACTCCTCCTTCTGGACCACTCCTACTCTGTTTCTATCCACACCATGATAAAACATTTTGAACCCTGCTCCAATGCTGTGAGTCTTGCTGCCCTTCCACTTGGTCTCTTGGACACATAAAACTTCTACCTTCCTTCTCTGCATCATGTCAGCCAGCCCTCTACCTTTGCCTGTCATTGTCCCCCCATTTAGAGTTGCAACCCTCATTCCTACATTCTTGACTTTCCTCTTCTCTCTCTGTCTCCTGACACGTTTCCCTCCTCTTGGTCTTCAACTAACAGTAGCACAATTTTTGCCGGCACCCTCGTTGTCAACAGTATCAGTGGCGGTCGTTGTTAACCCGGGCCTCGACCGATTCAGCATGGTTTTGCTTTGATGAACTCGCATTATAGTTTGGGCAAAAGTGTTTTACATCATATGCCCTTCTTGACACAACCCTCACCATTTCCCCGATCTTGGGACCAGCAAAAGAGATACACTGGCTTGTGCTCCCTAGCAGCTGGTTTCATCTTCAACCCATCTACACACCTAAAAGCACTGAGATTATGCCATGACTGATTAGGTATTTGTGTTAACAAGTACTTAAACATGTGGACCAATATAGTGGCTGGTGAGTATATTTTACCTATAAGTACTGATTTCTAAGATGAAGTTAAAACTTCATCTTAACTTTCATCTTCATTGATGATTTTTCTTAAAGTGATGTGGTCCTGTTGGTGTCATTGTGCCATAATCTTCAGCTCTCACTGGAATGGTTCTCAGCCAAGCTTGAAATGGCTGGGATGAGAATAAGCACCTCCAAATTTGGGGCCATGGTCCTCAGCTGGATAAGGGTGCTCTCTCTGGGTTTGGGATTAAGTTCTGCCTCAAGTGGAGAAGTTCAAGTATCTTGGGATTTTGTTCATAAGTGAGGGAAGAATGGAGTGTGAGATTGACAGGTGTATTGGTGCAACGTCTGCAGTATTGCAGACTTTGTGCCAGTCCATTGTAGTAAAGAGCATGCTGAGTTGTAAGGCCAATCTCTTTTTACCGGTCGATTTATTTCTCTACCACCCCCCACCCCCAATGGCTTCCTAGTGACCAATAGAACAAGATCACATAAACAGGCAGTCAAAATGAGTTTTCTCTGCACAATATCTGGACTCTCCCTTAGAGATAGGGTGAGAATTTCAGTTATCTGGGATACACTCGGATTAGAGCTGATACTTCTCCTCCACATCAAGAGGAGCCAGTTGAGGTGGTTCAGGTATCTGATAAATATGCTTCCTGGGTGCCTCCCACCTCAGACCTGTCCAACTGAGAGGAGACCCAGGGAAGACCCAGGATACACTGGAGAGACTACATCTCTTGGCTGGTCTGGGAACATCTTGGCGTCCTCCCAGAAGCGCTGGAAGAGGTGACTTGGGAGAGAGATGTCTGGGCCTCCCTGCTCAAGCTGCTGCCCCTGTATCTCAACTCTGGAACAAGTGGAAAATGGATGGATGAATGAATGGATTGATTAATTGATTTTTGTTAAATACTAAAAACCTTGTTTTCTTTCAGGACTACTTGGTTTTGCTGCCTAGTGCTTACTACGAAGCTCCCATTCTGCAAATGAGAGTCACTGATCCCTGCACCTACAGCTCTGTTTCACACAGCACCCAGAAGTAATTATGTTTTTCTTTTTTACTGGAAATAAATGAACTGTTGTGTTAATGAAAAACAATCACTGATTCTCAAAAAGCCTTTCCAGTTCCACCTGACTGAACCAAGTGCATCATTCTTAGTTACCAACCAAACAGCCATAAGATCATGCACCTCCACCTGTTATCATTTTCAGTATAGTTTAAGATCAGCACAAGTTATGGCACAATTTAAATCAGCTAACAGGTATTCTAGACCATTTTAGCTTTTGACTTACAAAATAACAGTGAAGGAGACTTGTGACCCTAGCTATTGCTAGCTGAAGAATACAGTATAAACACCTCAGAGCCTACTAAACAGGAATATAATGACATTTTTTTTCAGTTATAACTATTGCTTTTTACTCAATTCAATTTAATTTTATATAGTGTCAAATCACAACAGAAATCATCTCAAGGCACTATACAAAAACATTCACATACAAAAAAAAATTATTTAGTAAAAGTTATCTATTTAAGGAAGCCAGCAGATTGCGTTGAATTTCACTTTGTTGCCAGTCTCCCATCCTGAGCAAGCACAAGACAAATAAACACACACAGATGAGCAGAAACAGGGTTGTATTTTGCCTTTAGCAGAAATGTTGTGTGCTTCCCAACCAACTCATAGCTTCAAGGTGGGTTTAAAACATACTATTTGCTTACCAGGGATGTTTTCTGGGATAAATTACTATGTTGCATTGTTGGTCCTGGTTCCTGCAGGCAAACCACCTTATGACAAAACACAACCACAAACACTTGAGATGACGCATTCCCTGCCTATACAAATGTTTTTTGACTAAAGGCTAGGTTCAGGGTTCCCAGCTGCTCTGGAAATCAGGCAAAACTTGGCAAATGACTTTCACAATTTCCAGACAGGGAAAACTCAGGGAGTTTGGACACTGGTCTGCTGATCAAAAGATGATCTTTCTCATACTTTGATGCACACATGTTTTATGCTTGTATTCTATTAATCAATGAGTCCATGTTCTGTTTATAGTGTTCAGAGTACCAGTACATGTATCCTTACTGAGTGACAGTGGCGGCATGGCACATTACAATTAATTATTAGGAATGATTTAAAGTATGCACATACCATAGGCTACAGAATATTACTCTAGTTCTGAACATTTTGTTAGGCTGAATTATCTCCTGGAATTTCAGGATTTACAAAGGAAAAATCAAGGAAAGCTCAAGGGTTTTTGTTATCATGACATTCTGGGAACCCTGTATATTTTAATTTAGTTTAATGCAAGAATATGTATTTCCACAAAATATCTTTTTTCTCACTTTTCTTTAAAATATGAAAACAATTTGTATCATGAACCAAGACAATAAATAGCTCTTCTTCTTGAGAAGACATGATAACAGACAAAAACTACCATGTTCTGATTTGTCTTTTGTCTGTTTGTCTTTATTTGTCCAGCTGTCTGCTCTACCAGTATCTGTCTCTGGAATCCTTCCCTTCCATCTCTGGAAAAGATGCCAGTTGCCGTAACGACAACCATCTGCCGCGGCCTTGCCCAACCGAGAAGGTCACTCCACGCCATCCCACCATGGCCGTCTGCAGTGGCTTTGATGTATGACTGTTTGTGCAAAATGCAAAGAGCTAAAAAGTGGAGAAAATCATCTGATTATTATTATTTTTACTCCAGATCAGCATTGACCTTGAAGGACGCATGGCCTCTCCAGGCGATTACGTTCTGATAGTCGAGTACTCCAGTGAGGAAGAATTACCACAGTCGCTGTCTATTGTTGTCAGCACACCAGCTGCACGGACACACCAGTACAAAGTCACCCTTCTGCACTGCAAATACAGGTACAACTTGGATAAACAGACAGACATCTTTGAGTCTATACAGATGACTTGAATAATGAGAGACAAAATGAGACATTTGTCCTTCTGTCTCTTGTTTCAGTGATCTCAGTGTATCTGAACCACAAAAACTGTATCCCAGTTCACAAATTAACTTTGGAGAGAAACTGTTTACACTTCATCTTAAAATCCTAAAACACTGCATGATTTGAATTAGTAACAAAACCGATCAATGCTGGAACGCAAATAGTGTGTGTGTGGGGAGGGGGGGGGGTGCGGTAGTCTTGGGGTTCTCCCCCAGAAATTTTTGAATAAAGTAGATGTGATTTGTATCTTAACAGGTTGATAAACATCTACGTTTATCTACATTTGTAAACACTTGCATCCTGACCTCGCCACCCCCCACTTACTTGACAGTTCGGAGCAGTCTCTTATCCACTGAATTCACTGTCCGACTTCAAATGTAAAATCTCAAGGCACTCTGTTAGTGTACACTACACTTTATCGATTAGTATAAATGATTTAACATGTTTTGTTTCATGTAAAAATCAACGAGGAAGCATCATCCAACAAATTGTGTGTGTGTGTATGGGGGTGGGGGATAGATGAAGCTTCTGTCCTTGGTTACCCATGTCCTAGGAGAAATTTGATAGTCGGCCCGTCGCCGAGGCCGTCGGGAGTCAAATTCAGATAAGCTTTGATTGCTGATTTTATTCAGTCAGACAGATTTTTTCTTCAGCCTTGAGTCCATCTGGACGTTTTGGTTCCAAAATGGCCTAACTGTGGAATTCCATTCCACTGATCCATGCTATGAGTCTCCTTCAAGGTCGAACCCACCACACTGATGAGTCCCAGAAGCCGCAGGTGACCTGCGATTCTCATAAACTGCCTCCACCTTACGGTTTAGCTCGTAAACCAGTTGATTTAGAGTTCCTACAGCTCAGACCAAACCTTCACACTGACTCGGAAGCTTTTCCATGACTGAAACTGCTGCCGATGTCTTCTTCAAAAGTTGATAAAACAGAGCCCCACCAATGCCAAAAAGCAGAGTCCCTGCTATCATAATTCCAAATATGTAAACGTCTTCAGCATCCTCCTGAGAGAGAACTGAGAGTTACATCAACTGCCACACTCCCCACGGATCCATGACATACCCCACAGCGTGCGTCTCAGCTGGACACGTAGGTTCTCCAGGACCTTGTCGCTTTGATGAAAAAATCTTATCAATAGAGTTGAACGTCCAGGATACCTGATCCATAATCTTCTTAATTTACGTTTGGGAGATGTGACCTAGGCGCTTCAGACACACAGAGAGCAGAGCAGGAGGAAGGAAAAATGGGGGAGGAAAGACAGAAGCAGCCACCTCGATCAGAGCCAGGGAGAGAAAAAAAAAAAGAGCACAACGACAATGAAGGCCCGTCAGTCAGTAGCTTCGGAGCACTTTACCGGCTGGACTGAGACATGGAGGTACCAGGGAAAACACAAGGAGGAGGGATGTGTCTTTACATCAACAAGAGATACTGTACTTCTGTGACTCAGAGAGCGTGCATCTGTACACCTATGTGGAATTTTTATCAGTGTCCTTACGACCCTTTTTACCTGCCCCGCGAGTTCCTGCAGGTCTTCATTACTGTTGTATATATTCACCCAAAAGCCAATGCACCATCCGCCTGTAGAACTATTTATGATGTTGTGCAGAGCCTTCAATCTATTTCCCCTGAAGCTCCAAGCTTCGTATTCGGGGATTTTAACTATGTCTCCCTCAGAAAGACACTCCCTAGTTATGCCCAGTATATATCCTGTCCCACCAGATGGGATAAGACTATTGACCTCTGCTATGGATCTGTAAAAAAGGCATACACAGCTTTCCCTCTACCTCCTCTAGGGCATTTATTATTTTTATTAACCTTTATTTAACCAGACAAATCCCACTGAGATCACAGATCTCTTTTGGAAGGGAGGCCTGAAGGCAGACTGACATGGTGAAATGGTGATCACAACTGTGTCCACCTGTTACCAGAATACAAAACTCTTTTAAAGAGGGGGAAAGTACTTGTGAAGGAGACTAAAATATGGACTGATGAGTCTGTGGAATGCCTGCAGGACTGTTATCATAGCACAGACTGGAATATATTTGTGGAGTCCTGTGGTGGGGATCCAGATGAACTCAGATGTAATCTGCTCATAAGTGGCCTGCTGCAAAGATGTGATTATACCAAATAAGAATGTCAAAATCTTCCCAAACAAGCCGTGGGTTACAAAATCTATAAAAGGTAATATACAGGTTAAGAGGAAAGCTTTTAAATCTTACTCAGACTGCTGGTGAAGATTCTCAATCATCCAGGACATGGTAAATTCAAAAAAGTTCAAGACACAAACAACTGGACTTTATTTATAACAGAAGATGTCTCGCTCCTCATCTGAGAAGCTTTCTCAATTCAAAGAGTAGAGCATGTGGGGTTCAGGTTATAAAGCTGAGATAAGATACATATGCAGATTGACCTAATCACACCTCACACCTCACAGTAGGGGTTTGTTAAGGTCTTTGTTAATGTAATTCACAGATGAGGCCCCTCTGGTCACATCTGATAGGTGTGAAAACTGGCTGGGTATCAGTCCTAAAGTTGCATTATACGTTTTTGAAAGTTGAAATCTGAGGCTGCCTCCTCTGTTTAGAGATGGTTTCTCTCTTTTTACATAGATGTTTATTATTTGCCTTATAATCTAGCTGTTTTTTGTTACTTTTTTTGCCATCCTATTTGTAAAAAAAAAAAAAATCTGTATGTCTTTTTATAACTGTCTATTGTTGTCGCTGTTGTCTATTGTTGTCATCATTCTTTGTTGAAATCAGGTCTCTCTTGTAAATGAGTCCTCGGGGCTCAATGGGATTTACCTGTCTAAATAAGGGTTGAATGAAAAGATGGCTTCCTTCACTCCCCTCTCAAACTATCTGTCTACTCAGTCCAAAATGTGAACATTTTGGTCCTCAAATGATTGTCCCTTATCTGTGAGGTGGAGGTGAACAACTGACTCTTGTCCAGAGGAGGTGGCTCTCCTGTGCTGAGCCATGCGTCTGTGAAATAACCGTTTGGTTTCTCCAGTATAGAGATTTGGACATTCATCATTGCACTGAACTGCATACACCACACTACTCAGTTTTTGTATGGGTGTTTTGTCCTTAGGGTGGACCAGCCTCTGTCTCCGAGTCAGAGATACTTTATTGTCATTCGCACCACATGTGGTGGAGCGAAACTTTGTACACAGGGTCCCAGTCACATCTGTAGTGAACTAGACCTCCGACATGAATCTGTCTCTGAAGACCTTCAGGGGACAGGAACTATTATTTCATTGATTTGAATCCAGAAATACAAATTATCTCATCAAGAGACTATTTAATTGTATCCTGAATTAATCAATTGAAAGAACACTCTTCTTTTTTATATTATCATTACTATTTTACGATATCTTGATAATTAAAAGTGTGTTCAGTTCATACCATTTCTAATGTTGAAGTAAACTACTCATTTAAATCAACTGTGAAACAGTATTAATGATTTTTAAACCTCATTAGACTTAGATCATACAAGTTAAATTTCTATTTACGAAGTAAGTGTGCATTTTAATCTTCTGTCTGAATGAGGAGTGGATTTAATGTCTGTCAAAAGTCAGAAAACAAGTTATGAGAACGAAGTGTCTTGTTTTTAAAACTCTCAGACAGTAAATAAGAAACTGGCACCTGCAAAGTGTAATTTCTTCAAAATATTTTCCTGTCTGTACTAACCGTTCTTAAAAACATTTCTGCTGTCTGTTGACTTCTAATAACCCTCTGACATCACTAAAACACCACCCCTGCTGGTTGTGTTAACCAATCAGGAAGTACCAAGTGACAAGAAGTGGATACCCTTTAAAAGTCAACACTTCCTAGAACTTTCAGCCTTACTGGAAGACTCAGTCTTACTGGAGTCTTCCTGGAACTTTAAGTCTTACAAGTCTTACTGGAAGACTCAGTCTGATGGTGAGTCGTACAGGAACTTTCAGTTCTTAATGAAAGTCAGCTTTGGAGTATGGAATTGGACCATGTGCCAAGGGTCCGTCCATTCCAGCGGAGTCACAGCTGCCTCGCTGTGAGCTCACCCGGGCGTAACACCCTACAACTTCTAATGAAGATTCCTTCTAAGGAAGCTTATTCTGTTGAACGGAGTACTTTGTCACGACTTCTGACGATATCCAGCCACTGACCGGAGACGCTGAAAGAAGAGTGAAATGCACCTCTGTACCGGAGCTGATTTATCTTCTGCCAAGGTAACAAGTCGTCACACGCTGAGTGTACCGAGGGCTGAGCTGGATTCGGAGGAAGGGTGCCATTTCTGGTCAACACAACTTCCTTCATCCATCTAAACCTCCTCTTTAAATCTTTAAACTTCTTTACTCCTTCTCTTTAAACTTCTATTCGCCAGTAAATCAAGTGAAGTGCCTTCAGAGATGAATTATTCTCCATCAGTAATCTTCTGTTGTCTTGTTATTTGAACTTGCTAAGTTTATTAATCAGAAACAGATCAGCAAATCAAGTGTACATGTTTTGATGTCAAATTTTGATTCTGTTAAATAAATGACCGTATTTATTCTGATGGGTCAAAGATAAATGGCGTCTCATGTCACTAATTAAAATTCCACTCTCAAGTTGTCTTGGCCACATGGCAGAAATTTAACTCGAAAAAGAAAGAATCCGTTCTGATTTGCTGAGAAGCCAGTGACGTAACGCCGTGTACGTCCACTCACTCTGGCGTCAGTGCGAAAAGCCCACCCCGATGTCCACGTGTCTGTAAAGTCACGTGACCCCGGAAATAAAGCTCGTTTTAAACGGAGTCTTCTTTAGTGGTTAAAAAACGCTGAATTACAGCCCTGAAATTGGTCCTAACCTGATGAGTTTATGCCTAAAGAGCGTGCTTTTGAAGCGACGCCACGTTCAAGCTTTAAATCCATCTATAAATGCTGATTTGGAC